TTTTATTTGGAATCAGGTGGTTTGACATGCTCTGGACAAAATAATAAATCATTATGTTCACTGTGAACTGAATGAGGATAATCGAGATTAACTTCTAGTATACACGGTGACCGGATTACTCGGAACCTAAACCAGATAGGGCAAAATGGTTCTGACAAAAGTTGTAGAGGGCAAAGGGGGCAAAACAATAGGGCTAATGCTTTTGACCTTGAATTTGACCTTCATGGTTATTTCAAGGTCAAAGTATTTTTTTTAATGTGAACCCCTATTTTTGACATCGTATTCGGAAAGAGAGGGAAATTTTACGTCCAAAATGGTATTTAGGAAATTTTTTTCATGTCCTTGAGAAATAAATTTCAAGGTCAAATGCTACAAAATTCTATGATTGCTGTTTCCTAGCCTCATTCTTTTTCTCATAAATAGCAACTCCAATATTACAACGAGCTTGAAAATGTTGACCTTGAAAAGGTTTTCCTTACTTTTAGCGTTACCCAGAAACAACGACGTGGACGTAGTAAGGTTTGTTTCCTTTGGGGTGCTTGTTTCACGTGAGTTCCCTTGCCTCTCTCGATGGACTGCTTGTTTCACGTGAATTGCCTTGCCTCTCAATAACCTCGAAGCAAGAGTTCGAAATGATGACCATTTTCTTCAAGACACATTGTCAAACGCCTTTGACAATGGCGAACGGTGTTCAACAAAGTTTGCCTCGGAATAGCAGCGTATGCTCGACGAATTATGTCCTGTATATCTGCTCTTGTAGTGGGTTGTTGCTCAAAAACAGCATTTTTTAAGTACCACATAAATAAAAATCTGGTTATATAAGATCGGGTGAGCAAGCAGGCCAGTTAACCAGACCTCCTCTCCCAATCCATCTGATACCATAGTGCTCATTCAAAAAAGCCCTTACGATTCGAGCAAAATGTGGTGTTGCGCCATCCTGCTGAAACCATATTCTTCGTCGCGTTTCTAAGTCAACATCTTACAGCAATCCAGGCAGTTCATCTCTTATTAGCCGCAAGTAACTATGTTGATTTATATTTCCTTCAAAAAAATAAGGACCAATCAAGGGTCCATTGACAATCCCGCACCATACCATAACACTCCAACGTCTTTGATGGTTTACAGTTCAGTATCAATAAGGATTTACATCAGACCAGTAATGGCAATTATGCCTATTCAGTTCACCATCACTTTGAAATTTGTCCTCTTCAGAAAACAAAATAGACTTTAGATTTAGATTCAGAAACTTTCAAAATCATAGAAACTAGTGACATTTTTTAAAATGACTTTTTCTCGCGCCGTCAGTTTGACCTTCGAATGCCCGTAGGATCAAACTGACTGCGATTTTGGATTCAATGTGACAAAATGCATAGGAATATATGTAAGTCTTTTTTGATAATGACCACCTATTTTTTGTATGTGCCTATGTAATGGATCAACAATATTGAGTTTGCCAGGTTTATATATTACTTTGAATTTAAAAACTTGTAAACGGAGTAGTCATTGTTCTATTTGTGCTGGCGGTTTAGACAAAGGCTTGAGAATTGCTTCTAAAGGTTTATACTCAATTTGCAATTCAAACTTTAACCTAGAACTATTAAAATTTTTCAACAGCCCAAACTAAGGCGAGGTTTTCTTTTTCAGTTTGGGAATACCGATGTACTACATCAGATAAATTAGTAGCAAATGAATTACTTTTGAATCAGATTCATTATCATATTGCAATAAGACTATTCCAAGAGCGTCTCTGCTAGCATTGACTACGAGTTTTGTGCGTTTTGTTAGATCACAATACGATATCGTGGGATGGTTAACTAAACATCTTTTGAGTTTTAAAAAACTTTGTTCATATTTATTAGTCTAATCAAAGTTTGTATTGGTTTTAGTCAATTTTCGTAACATATTTGTTGATATTTTATAAATCGGGAATAAAATTTCCAACATAGGTTAATCCAAGACAACACATAAACTTAACAAGTTAACACTTTCTCAATACTTTTTTTGTTATTCAGAGCACGAAAATTTATTATCGTATCCACTTTCTTTGGTTCAACACTTATACTTCTGATTGACAATGTGTGACTTAGAAATTTCAATTCGTGTACCTTGTAAATACACTTATCTTCATTTAAAGTTATATTGTTTTATTTCAAAACTGATAGTATGCTTTCATACAATCATTATATTCAATTTCTGTCAATCTAAATATTATTATATCATCCTAAAAATTTGCACAATTTCTTCATCCAGCTCAAATCATTTCCAAATTTTTTTAAAAAATTTCGGGAGCTGAATTTATATCAAACATTAATTCTATATAACGAAATAGACCTTTGTGAGTAATGAAAGTTATTATATGACGACTATTAACGTCAAGTTTTAATTGATGGTATATGACTTTCAGATTAAGTCTTGTAAAGTACTTAACTTTTCTCAACTTAGTCATAAAAGAGTCGAACGTAGATATAGGGTAGTTTTCTCTTCCAATAGCTTCATTCACTCTGCGCATATCAAAGCAAAGTCGTATATCTCCTAAAGTTTTTATTTGCAATGACGATTGGAGTTATCCAAGCACTCGGTTCAGTGACTTTCTTGATAATATTACATTTTTAGACTGCTTTTAGTTTTGCTTCAATTAATGTTTCTACTGTTATAGAGACACATTTGAGTGGTTGTTGTACTGCTTTGACATTTGGGTCTAGGCCAATTTTATCACAATATATTTGATTTTTAGAAAAGGTAATATGTTATCTGTTTTAATTCTGCTAACACTCAGACCAAGTCTCAAAAGTTCCAATTGTTTAGCTGTATCTTTGCCAATGATAGAAACATCTCCATTTTTTACAACAAAAAACGATGCAATAACTTCTTTTTAATATGATAAACTAATGGCATTAACAAAATTTTATTGTAATTTTTGGTAATTCTGTTGACGCATATGGTTTGAGGATTTCAGTTGGATTTGGAATCATTTCCCACATAATTGGTTTATTTTTAGAAAGGACTTTATAATCTATATCTTTCACTATATTAACCTTACATCTGAAATTGATAAGATACATCAGCTTGGTACCACTGATAAAACAGTAAATGATGTCATCAAGAGGACTTCATATACTAATTAACTCAGTACTATTTATTTTGAAACAATTATAATTCTGTAAATTGTCATGCTCTAAATTTTCATAATTAGTATCAATATAATTGACTTTATTTTCTTTATGCGTAAAACGCTTTGGATCTTTTGTATCTGAATCATCTTCTTTTGAGAGGAAAGGTTTTCTTTTATTTACACGAGTCTTACGAAACTTTGCAAAATGACCCTGAAAATCACATCTCCTACATTTCAAGTCTCTAGCTGGGCAAAATTATATATTTATTAGTAGTATGGTTAGTTCACCTACATCGTTGACAAGAATCATTTTTATCTCTATCATGAAATATAATTTTGTTGACTGATAAGGAATTATCTGTTTCTAATGATATATAAGGAAAATTCATATTCATAACTGATGACTGAGTGTTTATTTATTTAAAAATATAACATAATTCAATAATGTCATCAAGCGTACGTTCTTTTTTTAAAATTTTCTTTTACAAATCTGAATTTGTTCAATAATCGATAATAACATCCTTTAAAGTTATATCCTTTGATTCATATTCAGTTTTGCCAAAGCCATAACGTTTAGCTTGAAGTCTGATTTCTAATAAGAATTTATTAAAATTCTCTGCATCATTTGATTTAGTATCGTAACATTTAAAAGTCGAATTTTGTATTAGGAATGTTTGTTTTACGAAAAAAGTATTAAGCTTATCAACTAAGACGTCAATCGCTTGATCAGCATTAATAATGACGTCTCCAGATAAATTTTACGCAATCTCTTAAAGTTGAACGCCTCGCAAATATAATAATTCATCTCTCTTCTTTGAGGATGTTTCAGGCTTTTCAACAGCCAGATACAATTTCAAAGATCTAAATCACTTCTTTTATTCTGCACCAATAACGGCTTCATCAATATCCTCGCACAAAAATGATTTGATACCACTGATTTTACTTATTCTAGCGTAAAATAAATAAATTTAAGATGTATACATTTAACACATTGTATCTTATAAATTTGCTTACTTAGTTATTTCAGTTCTTTTAGACTGACATGCATAGGCTCATGTATGCTGCTATAGCCTTAGCTCCAACGTGACAAACTTTCAAATCTTTGTTGTTATCGCTCACAAGCTTTCTAACCCTCAACTATTCGTTATTAATATTTTGTATTTGCCAACATAAGCTCAATAATCTTCGTCGTCAATTGTGTTTAACATTCAACGTTTTCAATTTGTTTTCAACATTTCGTTGATTTATTTTCAGCCTCGTCAGGAAATAAAAATCGGTTTTGAGTAAATCTGTAGTAGAGATTAATTGTCAAAATTCATTGCTCAAACATCCTCGTTGCAAGTTTGTAAATACACTTTTTCGTAACATTTGCTATAGGCTAGGCTAAACATAGCAATATCTTAAAACTTTTTACGTAGTAGAGTTATAAAACTGATACATGCAATCTATCTCTCTGTTCTCACCGCCTCTTTATCTTTCTTTCAACGCGACTATTTGTCTCTATGGTCCGCCGATTTTAATCTCGACTTCGCTAATCAGCACCTCAAAGACAGACCGAGCATGAGTATTGCGCTCACGAAAAAACACACATGCGTTTGGTTTGACGTGGTAGCGAGCAGACAAAAAGAGGCAAAGAATGAAGGAAAATCGCAACAAAATGGTTTTTTCTGTCACAGCTCATTCTATATTCAACTTTAAATCTAGCTAATTTGAATTAAAGTTGAATTTATTTTGAATTAAAATGGAATATAGCACCATATTTCATTAAAGGGGAAATTTTAATAAAATAATATTTTAACCTTTACTTGTTAGATTTAAGTGATATAAAAATTTTATAAAAGTCATCAATAGTTGATACATAGTTTATCAATAAATAATTACTTTTCAGAATTTGAACTTCGATTCTCAATACGTGAATAAAGGTGTTACTTATGGACATGTAGTTATAGAAATGAACTCAAACCCAATTATAACAGCATTAAATGTTTGTAAACATCTTATATCGAAAAGAGTTTATGCAATAATAGTATCCCATCCACCTACAGGTGAACTATCACCTGCTGCTGTCTCTTACACCAGTGGATTTTACCATATTCCAGTAATTGGTATTTCTTCCCGAGATTCAGGATTTTCTGATAAGGTATTTAAAAATTTATAATACCTTTTATTTAATATAACAAACAGTACTGTAATATTATTATCAATTCAAAATTCGTAATCGCATTATAATAAATACTATCGGAATTTTAGAAAAAATTATAAATAGATTTTCCGAGAATAAACAAGAATTCTACATGCGGATACGTAAATGGAAAGTGATCAAAATAAAAATTATGTTATTGTTAGGTATAAACTCCTCTTCACATGTTTTTGGACACCCAATATAAAAATCGAGAAAGAAATGTAAAAAACGTGTTATTACTCAGCACACAACACTGGTATCTCAAAAACAAACATTCGAAATAGGAGGTAAAAACCTTTCAAAAACGCAATTGCTGACTTCCAAAACAACAAATTTTAGATTTTTATAGCTAATAAAAAAAATAGCAAAATGTAAAAAATGTATCTGATTTTAAGATGTTGCAGAGTTAGATTCCGTAAGCAAAAAAAAAATGTTCGCTGGTACGAAAGAGAATTTTTTTCAACTTTAAATTGAGAGATTGAGCACTATTTTCCAATATTTTTTAACGAGTTAAAACAATTTTTTTGTAATAAAATGAGGTTTTTTTTAAAACATGAATACATACAAAAATAAGTAAGATAGAAAAAAACTCTAGCATAATAAGTAGATGAAAGTACACAATTTTAAGGAATATTTATATTATCAATGAGTGGCTCGGTCGCACAAAAAGAATGTCGACGATGCCGTTCCGTCAAGACAAAGCCCTCAAACAACTCATCTATTGGCTTTGGCGGTATGATGTGCTCGTTCCTTCTCATCTCTCTATTTTCCTCTCAGATTCTTCTGGCTTGTTGTATCACCAAGTTCTTCGTCGAAAAAAAGCACGTGTCGTTTACTCGCGTTGGTAGAATAACAACGAATACCGGTTTTCGCCTACTCATGCATTCTCTCTCGCTCGCTCGCTCTCTCTCTCTCTCATTCTCTCTCTCTCTCTCTCTCTCTCTCTCTCTCTCTTTCTCTGCTTAGGTTTGAAGAGGTAAATGAGGAAATGAGCTAGGGATGTCTAGACAGCCGTGAATATGAGACGCCCCAGCCGCAAATACGGTAAAAGGTATAATTGTGTATGATGGCATCCATTATTGCTTTAACTGATTATATAATTATGAATATTGCGATAAGGCCCGACGCTATGGTGCCGAACATCATAAAGCCGTTCTATAATTTGGTATAGGTTGAAATGCCGATCTGTTTTATTGTTTCTGAATCCAATAAATTTCTGAGTTTTGATGTTTCTGCTAGTACTGGTAGATCCGAAAGTCTTCGATGACGTTTTCGAACAGAGCTGTCCAACAGTTTCCAACAGTTCTATTGGGAAATGAGAACGTTGGTGTAGTCATTCAAGATCTTTTGGGAAAGTAAATTCTGTCATTCATAAGACCTTAGAGATTGTGGAGGTACCAAGTGAGTGTTCTCATTGGGTGGATAATTTCTGAAGTAATGATTGAGGATGGGACATTTAATTGTGTATATCACATCCCATTGAACTTGTAGGCTGACGGAAGGATGCGATGCGATTGAAATCCATCAAAGTTATTTCTCTGTCATTTTCTATTCACTCAGCATCAGCAATACTGTTTCGGATATCCATTACTCGTTGAATGTACTTTAGTATGGATTCGTTCTTTTGCCAAACTAGGATCGCCAATTTTCCTCGGTGGGTATTTGCAGTTGCGTTTAAGGAAAACACTTGTTTGAGTTGTTTTGTGAAGTCATCAAAGTCCGTGAAGGTCAACCCTTGTATAACTGCATACGCCTTATCTTCTAATTTATTAATAAGCAGCTTGATCATTTGATGATATGAACGCATGTAAATTAGTACCGTTATAACAGGAAACTTCAGCTAGGACATCTTTAATCGTAAGAATAGAAGGTAAACTACAAAGTACCATGGGTGAAGTTTTGAATGACTTTAGTCGCGGTATGTGATAAAAGGATAGTCGCTGTCGTATTCGGGACAGGAAACTATCTGGCAAACCTGAGATCGCAGGTATTTGTGTAACCAAATTTTGATTTTGTGTGATCGGAACGATCGAATTTTTTATCTGGTCATATGCTGTGCGTAGTAATATAATTCGTCTCTGGAATCCCTTAGTCGTTCTGTTTTTTTCGTCAAGAGTAATGGTATCTTCTTGCATGATTTTTTCCGCTTCCTCGTTGACGCGGGCTTTTTTGGTAGCAAAAGCGGCATCTCGGATGTATAATTCTCTTTTTCTGCATTTAAGTTCGACTAACTACATTAGATCCCCTTGAGAATTTTAGGAAAGCATGTCATCACGTAAGTCTTCAAAGTCTTTGTTTGGTTTCGGCATTTTGTCCGATATGAAGAATAATCCGTTTGAGTCTCACTCTTAGGCTTTCCTGTTTTATTTTTTTTCTGTAAAATTGTGTTTGAGAAAGTAGAATTAGCTTGTTATGGTGTACTTAGGTGTTCGTGAGCAACACGGTTTGTGATGGAATCTCGAGTATTCGGACATTTGAAGCTTTTTTCGTGGATATAAAGAGGAGAAAGAAAATGAAGCATATACAAAGAAGAATTCATTCATAATTTTCTATAAAACATATATTCCATACTTTTTCGGCATAAATAAACCTACAATAAACAATGTAAGTGGCTCATGCATAAATAATTTCTTTATCAGAATTAATAAAATAAAATATACGACACAAAAACTAGAAAATACTTTTAATGATCTTTATCCACTTTTTGTTACATAAACAAATTAGAGATTCACAAAATTAAAACCAAAATATACAATCAGTAAAATACTATAAGCTAGAAATAAATTTCCAAAAAGTTAAATGAAAAACAATAACAAATGAGTATAATCCTAATATCGCCATGAATAAATAAAATAAAAACATGTAAAGAAAACGCTATAATAAAAAATAAGCCTCATACAACAAACAAAAACTTGAAAAGGAAAAAATATACAACTAGGGCGATAATGGTATTGTACAAAAATAAGGAGACACTTTACGAAGTCTGTCCGGAAAGTATCGGGCCTACGTTTATATCTTCGCACCATAGTGTTCGAGCGACCTCAACCGGACAAGAACGTCAACAGTAAAGCCTCACGAATCTATTGGTTACTTACTGACACCTGCCGGACGTATAGTTCATGTGCAGTGTGTCTTTGTTTACAGTGCCTTTTTCGCGTTCGTCGGATTTTGATATTGTCAAAAATGACTAAAAAACAAGATCAACGAATTTGCATCAAATTTTGCTTTCAACTCGGAAAAACGAGTTCGGAAACTATTGAAATGATGCAAAAGGCCTTCGGAAGCGAGTGTATGAGCAAAATACGAATAAAAGAGTGGTATAAACGGTTCAAGGATGGTCGCACTTCTGTCGATAGTGATTCTCGTTCCGGCCGACCTTCGACGATCAAAACCGCAGATAATATTGAGCGGGTGCGACTTGTAATCGAACAAGATCGTTATATGACTGTGCGAGAACTAGAAGAAGACCTTGGAATACCAAAAACTATCATTTCAGAAATTTTAACCGAAAATTTAGTGATGAAACGCTTGTGTACGAAATTCATCCCAAAATTGCTCTCAGCAGAGCAGAACATTCGCTTAGAAATCGCTCTGGACAATCTGGAAATGGTCAATAATGATGACAATTTGCTTAGAAAAGTTATTACAGGTGATAAATCATGAGTTTATGGTTATGATCCTGAAATAAAACCACAATCTTCACAGTGAAAGCATTCTGAATCGCCAAGACAAAAAAAAGCACGTCAAAGTCGGAGCAATGTTAAGTCAATGTTGATTGTTTTTTTCGATGTGAATGTGTTGTACATCACGAATATGCACTAACAGGTCAGACAATCAATAAAGAATACTACGTTCAAATTTTGAAACGTTTGCGTGATGCAGTAAGAAGAAAACGGCCGCACTTTTGGGAAAGTGGTGACTAGCTTCTCCATCACGATAATGCGCCAGCGCATTCATCCAATCTTGTGCCGCAGTTTTTGAGCAAACACAATATCGCATTGCTTCGACAACCTCCATACGGTCCCGACATAGCCCCTTGTGACTTTTGGCTGTTTCCAAAACTAAAAAGACCACTCAAAGGACACCGATTCGATGATAAAACAACGGTTGAAAACAATGCGACGAGTGTACTTTAGGGTATCCCTAAAAGTGAGTTCCAGGATTGTTTTAAAAAGTGGAAACATCGATGGAACCGTGTTATTCAATCAAGTGGGGATTACTTTGAAGGATGCCACCCACCAGATGATAAAGAATAACGCCAGCACGAAAATATAAAGGTAGGCCCGATACTTTCCGGACAGACCTCGTATAGCTTATAAGAAAAAAATCCAAAAAATGAGATACTGAGAAATGATTACAAAAAATATGTGAAGACCTTAGACAAAGTTATAGAAGATACTGAAATTAAATTTGAAACAGAATAAGTTAAAAATGATGGGGATAATCCAAAAAAATGATGGAATCTAAATAATACAAAACTAGGTAAAAATAAAATTAATGAAATTCAAGATTAAATAATAAAAAATAACTACAGAAAAATAAAAGGCAAATATGTTACGTCTCACTTTTCGTGAGGTGAAGATTTCAAATCCTTTTTGGGCTGTGATTTCTCACTTTACCCGGGTAAGGAAAGATTGGTGTTGGCTAAAATACAGAAAAATTTGATGCACACGGCGTGGATGTTTTTCTATTTCCTGAATCCAAATCGATTATTCTAGCGCTAATCTTTTCGGAAGGCACAGAGAATCATCAATTATAGATTCCACTCAGACCTATAAAGATCCTAATGATCCAAGTTCTGAGCGTTAAACTATTGTATCAACTCTATCCAACTCGTTTTTCAATGAGAGGACCGAGCGATACGGAATTGGGAAAATGGATTGTGTAAGGTGAAGAAATAAAAATTAGTATTGGAAATAAAACTTACTTTTATATAGTCCTTTAAACGATTAATGGAA